GGGAGGCTCGGGCCGGCCCGCCATGCGTTGGGGGCTGTGCCCTCTTGGGCCCGGGCCTGCGGCCGTGGCCCGGAGTTGGGGGCTTCTCCGCCTTCCCTGTAGGCCGGGGTGGCGAGGGAGGACGAGGGGACCTCTGGTGCGATCAGTCACCGGGGCCAGTAGCCAGCTGCCGAGCTCGAGTAATGGCAGGTACCGGGACACGGTGCTGCTGCCGCAGACCAGCTTCCCCATGAAGCTGCTGGGCCGCCAGCAGCCGGACACGGAGCTGGACATCCAGCAGGTACGGGCCCCGCCTCTGCGCCGCGCGGGCGTGGGGACCCGGGGCCGGGCGCTGGGGCGGCGTGGGACAGGCCACGGGCGCCACGCTCCCTGCGGGCGGGGGAGAGGGGGTCGTGACCGGATCAGTGGAAATCATCCGCTTCCCACAGGTTTTACTGCCTGAAAACTTAAGAAAGCTGTGGGTAGGTGCCTGATTGGTAGCAGGTTCCGGCGTGGACTATTGAAGGAGAACCTATCGATGCTCAGGTAGCAGCACACATTAGATACGTCTTATTTTTAGCTTGGGCAGGTCGAATGTGGATGCTTTTCCAGTGGCTTGTAAAAAGCAAATTAACATGTACACAGATAAATAAAAATCTGGTTATGAGGACGAGCGGAAGCTCACCTTTGCGGCATTAGCAGGTCCTCAGTTGGAATCAGGACTTGTTTGCGCATGAAGTAGCGGCAACTTTTCCTTCTAATTCTAGAGTCTTTAAAATTCCTGATGTTCAGGATATATGGGTTAAGTATGCTTAGCTTAAATATTATAGCAGTTATTAGAGGTCTAGACTCATAAACCTATTTTTGCCATCTAATTTTTAAAAGTGTTTTTTTTTTTTTATCCAGTACCTGTATGCCAGGAACTGTGATAGTTTCAAATGTTGTCATTTCATCTTCTTGCCAAATGGACTAACGTTTTTTTCAAATGAGGAAACGGGCCCGTTAGGGCCAAGTGGCTTGGCCAAGGTCACAGAGCAGGTGATGGAAGGGGAGTGGGATTGCACTGAGTGTTCCAGATTTAGAGGGTAGCAAGTGTTTAGATGAAAGGATGGGAGTGACTCACGGGTCCTTCAGCGTGGCTGGACTGAACAGCGGAGGGCAGGGAGGACCGAGACTGCCCAAGAATCGAACAGACTAAACCTTGGAGAGTCGCTGTTTAAAGTACTCACACTTAAATCTGAAGGCTTTTGGAAAGCTTTTGAAAGGCTTTTTAAAAGAAGGGTGCTCAGATGTGCATTTACAAACCACACCATTTGTATTTTATAGTTGAATATTTCGGAATGAAATAAGTTCTGCCTATTTATGGTAAGATTCCAGTGTATGTATTTATATGACGTTCAAACGTTGTTCTTTTTAAACAGAAATGTGGATTTTCAGAACTTTACTCATGGCAAAGAGAAAGAAAAGTGAAGACAGAATTTTGTCTTCATGACGGACCTCCTTATGCAAATGGTGACCCTCATGTTGGACATGCTTTAAATAAGGTAATCATAATTGTTTATAAGACTTGAGGGAAAACCTTTATTTAAAATCACTTTACAAAGAGTGTATTCTAATACTATGACCATTATGTAAATTTGCATTGACACATAAAACCGGAATGTCCTAATAGAAAGCAGCAGTAAACCATTTTAGTACTGTGTGGAAAAGTAACCTTGCTGGTACTTGCTTTGAGCGTACTGTTTTCATCGGTAAATATCATTTTGTTCAGTAAATACCGAGCACCTACTATGTGCCAGGTGTTATTCTACACTCCGATAATAGCAGCAAACAAAGATAAGTCCTGCCTTTTGGAGCTTATGCTCCAGTCTGGGAAGACGTGACGAGATAAAATGTGTAATATGTTGGGTAGTTGCTATGGAATGACTGTTCTCTCAGATTCCCGTGTTGAAATGAAACCTAATCCCCAATTGATGGCATTTGGAGGTGGGGACTTTGAGAAGTGATTAGGTCATCGATGGAATTAGTGCCCTAATAAAAGACCCAGAGAGCAGCTCCCTTATGCCGTGTGAGGTCGTAGCAAGAAAATGATGGACCACAAACCTGGCAGGGGGCCTTCACAGGATGCCAGGTCTGTCGGGGCCTTGATCTTGGACTCCACAGCCTCCAGAACCGTGAGAAACAAGCCTCTGTTGTTTGCGCCACCCAGTTTATGCCGTTCTGTCGTAGCAGCCCGGACTGACTGAGAGGAGAGCTCCCTTATGCCGTGTGAGGTCATAGCAAGAAAATGATGGACCACAAACCTGGCAGGGGGCCTTCACAGGATGCCAGGTCTGTCGGGGCCTTGATCTCGGACTCCACAGCCTCCAGAACCGTGAGAAACAAGCCTCTGTTGTTTGCGCCACCCAGTTTATGCCGTTCTGTCGTAGCAGCCCGGACTGACTGAGACGATAGCGATAATGCTGCAGAGGACAGTAAACATGGAGAACAGTGGGGGGTCAGGCGGGCAGACCGTCTGTTAACTCGGTCTCGTTTAGCCTCCCTCACTGAAGAGGTGGCATTTGGGTAAAGTCAGGGAAGCAAGGGAGGGAGCTACTGGGGCTCATCGGGGTAAGAACAGCCAAGTGCAAAACGTGGAAGCGAGCGCTTTCCTGGCGTGTCTGAGGAAGTCGGGGTGGCTGGTCTGCAGTAAATGAAGGGGCGAGTGTTAGACGAGGGGCAGCGGGGGCCAGATCTCACAGGCCATTGGAAGGACCTTGGATTTTACTCTGAGGCCACTGGAGGGTTTTGAGGAGCAAGGTTCACGATCTGATTTGTGTTTTACTAGGATCGCCTTTGGCTGCTCTGTTGGCAGTAGACTGTAGAGGGAGTTTGAAAATAGGGAGACTAGTCAGGGGCCTTGTGATAATTCAGGAGAGAGGATGGTGATTTTTGACCAGGGTCAAAGCCATGAACGTGCTGAGAGAAATCGATTCTAGGTAGAGTTTGAAGGTTAGGTAACTTCACCTAACCCTGATTACCTGCCAGAGTTGCATCTGCAAATCCCATCACATTGGGGATAGGGCTTCAACATGTGAACGGGGCAGGGGTGGGCAGTGGGCGACGCATTCATGTGAAATGGAGTAAACATTTCTTTGAATTTAAAGGAATAGAAGAGATTTTCAAGTTTAGGCTTGCTCTAAGCCCCAGCTCTCCCTTCTCCCACGGGCCGCTAGCCCAGCTGAGTGGTTGACAGCTGTGTGCCTGCGTTGAAACACGGAGCTTCCACCAGCATGTAAATCAGCTTTTTACGAAGCACACAGCTCAGTTAGCTGAGATTATCTTTGTAGCAAGACTTTCTTGATGAAGGAAGCAGTGTGTTAACTCACATTATGGTGTAAGGCTCCTTGTCTTGGTTTTAGACTGGTACCTTTGCATCCCACTGGACTGACATATTCAGCGTTCTCAAAATTTTTAGACTAACGGTGAAACGCACACATAGTAAATGATTCAGTCGGATGAGCTATGCTCGCTGTGCACACCCAACAGCCTCCCGGCGTAAGATGTGGAAGGTCGTTCCCATAGCCCAGAAGCCCCCATACGCCCTTGAGTAAGATGTGGAAGGTCGTTCCCATAGCCCAGAAGCCCCCATACGCCCTTGAGCCCGTCACCATTCTCTCCCCGCCTCCCGCCCTAGGCAGGCGGGTTTCGTTTCCATCGCTTTAGATCTGTTGCCTGTTCTATAGTTTTAGGTAGGTGGAATCGTAATGTATATATTCTGCGTCTGGCTTCTATCATGTAATATTTTTGAGATTCATGTTGTTTTAGATTATCAATAATTGATTCTTTAATTGCTTGGTTGCATTCCATTGAGAGACTGTACTGCAAATCATTTATCAGTGTTTTTTTAGTCGTTTGTTTGCAATTATGCTTCAGTGGAAAGTTGGAAGAGGATGCGGCCTTGGACATCTGCACTCTCAAGGCCGGGAATCTGGTCACTAAACAGGTCCATACGGCTTTTCGAACAAGACTGTATTGTAATATGTATTTTACGTTGTGTGAGAACAGAATTGTATGGAACATGTCTAAACATTTGAGATGTTATACATGGTGCGTGTTCCTCAGTATTGTTGTTTGCTTCCACAAAGGATAAACTGTGCTGCTTGTTTACATTTCTTTTTTAACACCTACAGCACCTGGTATTCCTTGGTGGTCTCCCATCCAGGTACTCACCGGGCCCGACCCTGCTTAGCTTCCGAGATCAGACGAGACGGGACAGGTTCAGGGTGGCATGGCCGTAGACAATGCTGCTTGTTTAGACAGTTCATTTTTGAATTATTTATATCAGATGGTAAAAAGGCATTCATTTCTTTTTATGGAGAAAACAAGTGCTCGATTTTTTTTTTTTTTTTTAGAGTAATGCTATTTGGAAACAATTCCATTAATTTACTTTCAGCACACTTTATATTTGGGGTCATTGTAGACTCAAATGCAATCTTAAGAAGCAGTGCAGGGGCTCCCTGCGCCCTTTCCCTGTTTCCCCCAGTGGTGACGTCTTGCAGAGCTGTAGTGCAGTCTCAGAACCGGACACTGACGATACGGTCAGGATCGCAGACGTCCCCGGCACCCCAGGATCCCTCACGGCGCTCTCGTGTAGCTACCGCCGTCAGGAAGTGTGATGACTCCAGCTTCGTTTTTTCTCAAATTTTTTGGGAATTTGGGGTCTTTTGTGGTTTAATATGAATTTTAGAATTTTTTCTTATTTCTATGAAAAATGCCATTGGAATTTTGATAGGCATTGCGTTGAATCTGTAGATGGCTTTAGGTAGTATGGACATTTTAACAATATTAAGCCTTATGATCCATGAACGCAGGATATCTTTTTATTTGTGTTTTTGATTTCTTTCATCACTGTCTTAATAGTTTTCAGTGTATAGGTCTTTGAGCTCCTTGGTTAAATTTATTCCTAAGCATTTTGTTTTTTATGATGGTATTATAAATGGGATTATTTCTTTTTCAGGTAGTTCATTGTTATTGTGTGGAAGCATGAATGATTTTTTTAATGTCGATTTTGTAATGTTTAACTATCTTTTGGTGGAGTCTTCGGGATTTTCTATATTTAAGATCATGCCGTCTGCAAACGTAGTTTTATTGCTTCCTTTCGGGCTAGGGTGCCTCGTATGTCTTTCTTGCCCATTTGCTCTGACGAGGACCTCCAATCCTGTGTTGAAAAGGAGCAATGAGAGTGGATACCCTCGCCTTATTCCTGACAGTCGAGGGGAAGCTAGCAACTTGTCGAGGGGAGGAGGTGGCCTGTCCCCAGGGCAGTGGCAAATGTGCCAACTCTGCACTAAGCTTCGTCTGGCCCCCCCAGTGGAGAAAGGTGGGGGTCTCATTACTGCCGGGTGGGAGCGGAAGTGCAGGCTCCCCGCTCCCCGCATGGTCTCCTTTGACACGCACATGGAGCCCCATTACCACCTCGCAGAGCTGAAGTCCCCACTCCTTGCTTGATTTCCTTGACACCAGCCCTATGACATGGTGGCGATGGAGGAAGGCTCGGCTCCCCTCTGAGCCTTCAGTGGGAGGGGTGTAGATGGGGCCACAGTTCTTCTCTGAGGGGTTTGGCCCAAGTAGAGCAGTCATTGCTGAAAAGTTTTCTGTCTTGCGAGGCTGCCTCTTTCTTGGTTTTTGGCTTAGAGAAAACAAGGTTGACTTTTTCTGTCTGTACCCATTGGCGTTTCCAGGTTGCTGGCTTGTTCAGCTCCATGTCTAGGGTGCATGAGGCAAAGTGAAAGCCCAAGAAACTCCACTTTCTCCCTCCTTGGTTCTGAGGTTTCTAGACTGCGCCTTCTCTTCGTCTTTCAGAGTCGTCTTCTGTTTGCTTTACATATAATGCCCAGAGTTTTTAAATTATAATTAATTGGAGGAATGGGGAAGGTACTTCTCCATCTTGCAAGAAGTGGAAGGTTCATTTTGAAAAATATTTTAAGTTAATTTTTTTCTGGTAATAAAGGTGGATTTGACAGATAGAAGAAAATGGAAAGAACATTATAATTACCATAATTCTACCAGACAGGTATAAATGCAGTTAACATTTCAGGGTGTTACTTTAGTATTTTTAATACTTGTTTAAAAACATAGTTGTTATAATATTTTATGTATATTTGTGTATCTTGCTTTTTTCCTGATATTTTTAATGTCCGTATTTTCTTAACTTGTTATGAAATTCTAGTTGTGTTTTAATGACCACATAATGTCACGATATAATGAATATTTTCGACTATAACTTTCTAAAAATTATAATTATTATCTTGAGGTAAATTAATAGGAATTTCTGGGTGCCAGTGGTAAATTACTTTTTAATAGGTTATATTTTTAGACTATACTAGTTGTATACTATACTAGATGAGACATTTATCTTATTATACTTAACCAGTGCTGCGTATTATTGCTAATTTGGGTATCTACTGCTCAAATTGAAAGACATAATATCTAAATGTTTTCATTTACCTCTTTGATTTTTCTATGTGCTTGGATTTTCATGTTGAATTATTATTATTAACGTCTAACTCTTTAATCCATTTGAAATCTTGTTTGGTTGATGTCATGAGGATCTAAATTGATTTATTTTCCAAAGGAGCAAATCAGTTTTTTCAATATCATTTATTTTCTTGCCACGTTTGTGATTCCTCTTGACTCATTCCTATTAGCTGTATCTTGGAATTATCTATAATCTGGTCATTGAACTGTCTATTCTTATGATGCTTTGGTTGGTTGAACTTTAGAAAGAATGAGTCTGCTTTACGTACAAGAGAAGTATTAACTGTCCCGTTTTATCCTGTAGGACACTGGTTGTTCATGTCTTTGGTGGGGCTTGGTTAAATCAACCTTGATAATGAAGTGTACTATGTAATCTTATAGCGAATGAGGTAGGTTTGTATGTACTGACATGAAGGATGTCCAGATATTAAGGGAAGAAAAATAAGTTTTAAAACAGTATTAGGATCTAATTTTGTAAAAAAAAAAAAAAAAAGTTAAAACAGTATTTCTGTAACATCTGGATTTTTTAAAACAAGAAACCTATATTACTCTGTAATCACAAAAAACAAAGACAATATAAAAATTTTCGAAAGTAAATCTAGAGAGTAAATGAGTTTGAATAGTCAAGAAATTTATATAAAGATTCAGGAGTGAATTGTCCTCCTACATAGAAATATAGTGCAGTATTATCAGCATTTCCAGACTTAAATTCTTCATCTCCTCGTTCTCAACAATTCTTACAAAAGTCCTGGAATTGAATCTCCTTGGCCTGATCTGGGTCACAAGTCCACCCCCAAATCAGTCACTGTGGACTTGGGGATGGAATGTGTTGATGGCTTCAGTGGCTCATGTGTTTACCCTTGGAGCTGGCGTCCAGGGGAGCGGGCTCTGCCTAGCCCTAGGCCCGAGGGTCGAGGAGGCTGGGAGGCACCACGCACGCACACCGCCTCTCACCCGCCTCGCTGGAAGCGGGCCCTGGGAACCCGCGCAGCCCCGCCCCTCTCAGGCGGGCCGCGCGTGGTCCCGCTTGCTGTCCTCTGCCTGCAATGCCTTTCCCAGGCGGCAGAGGGCTCCCTTCCTCATCTCCTCTGTCTCCCCAGTCGCCCTCTCATCAGGCTTGCGCTCCAGATGCTCTGAAACAGCAGCAGCCCCGACCGCCCCGCCTGCCGTTTTCCAATTCTTCACTTTGCTTTTTTCTTCAGAGCGAATGAACGTATTTGTTTTGTCTTCATCAGAAGAAGGACTTTCTCTCTCCTCCTCACTGCCGTACTCTAGGTTCCTAGAACAATTCTTGGCACATAGTAGGCTTTCAAATATTTGTCTATTAATAAACGTATACATGAGTATTTGTGGTACAAAAAGGGAAGAGGCAAAGGAGAAATGACTCTCCTTTCTTGAGAGCTATCACGAACAAAAGAGACAAATAGCTCCTAAAAGTATGGAGGCTTGCGTTTGGGGAGGAGGAGGGTAATTCATATTTGATACTGAAGCGTGAGTAGAATATTCCTATTGTATCCCTGCTGTTCCTTTTACTAGCGGCTTCAGCCATATCTTTCTTTATTAGGGATATTTTAGATTTCCCTCACATTCCATTCCATTAATGTGACTGAAAGCACCGTTGATTAGAAATAATGCACGGTACGAATGTGAGCCCTAGAGGAGTTAAATTTTCTAGTAGCCACATTAAAAAACAGTCAAAACAAACATGTATTTTACTCAGCACGTCTAAACTATCACCTTTCACTATATGTAGCCAATGTAAAAATTTTTAGAGGTTTCATCCTTTTTTTGTGCCAAGTATTTAAAATCTGGTTTGTTTTATATTTGCAGTACATCCCCGTTTAGACTAGTCCCGTTTCCACTGCTGAACAGCCAGGGGTGGCGGGTCCCCACCGTGTAACATCACAGTCCGGCACGTATGCGAATGCATGCATTCACTTATTCAGTGACCATTTACGGAATTGTGCCAGATACCACTATACGTCAGCAATTTACTGGTGAAGAGGACGGATGGGATCTCTGACTTGAAGGAGTTTATATTTTAATAATTTGGGAAGGGACAGATAGTAAGTGAAGAAATAATTTCTTGTAGGATTAAATGGGAAGGAGGTTATTAGTATACTGATCGATTTCAGTATACCTAACATAAAATGTACAAATTAAGCGTATATAACTAGATGAATTTTTATATCATGTGACTAACCACCTGGATCACAGAGTTTCCTCCTGCCCTTTGGAAGAAGTTTGAAAATTAGAGTTTTAAGTGGGAGAAGGGATGGGAAGAGCATGTAATGTCTTTTCTGCTTTTGATAGAAGTAGAAAGGAAGAAATAATTTTCTGGATTACTACACTGTTTTGAGAAGAAGGAAATTCAGCTTGGAGCCAGATCTATCCTTTGCCTTTGATCTTCCATTTTATAATGGCAACATATTCTTTAAAAGGCTCTGCTGCCCTCTGGTACCTAAAATAAGCTAAGAAGGGTAAATCGGGTAAAGACCTGTACCTAATCTACTTAGAAGAGGTGGATCATGTGAGTAAGTGTTTGGTAATGACAAGGTGTTAACTATGATGTTCAGTACTCTGCATTATAAATTCCGCATCCATTCTTTAATATTTCTTAGCTAAATGTAAATATTGAATTATTCACACTAATGATGTTTTTCATAAGACTAAAGCAAATTCGTAATTGACTGGTTTTTAGAAGGTTAAAGTTATTAATTTAGGTAATGTAGGCTGCTTATTTGCATAGTCCAAGAGACAAATTAGTAATTTTGGGCTTAATGCTTTTTACTTCGAAGTTGTTTATTCTTAGACTTTTTGGGGGGGAAGGTTAATGGCATTTTAAAACTTCAATATCTGTTATTCCTGTATTTATGTACAACTTGAATTAGGAGATTTAATAGGTTACTTTCTATAAATCTTTTTAAAATTGGGCTTTCTCAGTGTTTTAAAATGATCGAGAAAATAATATAAATTGTTGGATACATGCTGTATGTATGAATGATGATTATCATTTTCTTTGCAGATTTTGAAAGATATAGCCAATCGATACTATATGATGAGAGGTTCCAAAATACATTTCGTGCCAGGCTGGGATTGTCATGGGTTACCCATTGAAATAAAAGCATTATCAGAACTTGGTGGAAAAACTCAGAATCTTTCAGCTGTGGAAATTAGGGAGAAAGGTAAGTAATCTCTTTCTGTTTTTAAATGATAGTTGTAAACTAGGTGTAGGCTTTATCAAAGAGATCTTTTGTTGTATTTTGTTTTTGGTCTTGTTTGGGTCATAATGGGATCTATTGGAACTACTTTGTGTCACAGGAAATTCAGATTTTGGTTAATTGACCTTTGTGAGAACTTATGTTCAGAGATTGAAAGAAAGATTTATAAGCATTTTCAAGTATACTTTTCAGTTCTTTAGTCTTCATATTTTATGAAATTATTATTTTGGTCAATGTTTTTACTTACTTTCCTGGCGAGGGCTGTTGGCCTATTTCATGTGATAAAGAAAAATGAATTCTAAAAAGCAAATGTATTTTAAATTAATCTCTTATTCTTCAGTAGAGTGGGTCAGGGAGGAATCTTTTATGTGTTAAACTGTTTTATATTTGGATACGATTGTGAAGATTTTTGTACTTGAATTGGCTTAGACTGGATGTAATGATTGTGTGTTTGATGAAAGAAATTTTCTCTGATCTTTACTTAAGAAATAATGAATAATTTTTCAAGTTTATTCTAAATGTAACATCATTGAATAAAGCCTGGAAAATACAGAAGATGGTAACAAATACTTTCACTTTTGAAATTTAGTTAATTTTAGAATTTGAACTCCTTTAACTTTCAAAATAATTTTCCTATTAAATAAACTTTATAGTCTAAACAGTGTATAATACCTGCATTTAGAGAGATACTAAAAACCATGTTTAAGAATTTGAATTTATGGTTTTTCAAAAACTTTTTTTTTTTTTTTTTTTTTTTGAGAATTCACCAAGTTTGTTGCTCATGGACATGCTAAAGCAGCAATTGAGAAACAGAGATCAGCCTTCATTCGCTGGGGCATAATGGCAGATTGGAATAACTCCTACTATACATTTGATGGAAGATATGAGGCCAAGCAGTTGAGAATTTTCTACCAAATGTTCGATAAGGTAGTGAAGTGTTTTTTTTTCCTTCCGGTGAGTTAAATGGTTTTACAGAATTCCAGCTTTCATGTAATATCTTTGTGTTTTACAGGGCTTGATTTATCGATCTTACAAACCTGTGTTTTGGTCTCCCTCATCAAGGTATTTATGTGTTTTTCGCAGTTAAAGGAGACATTTTGTGAGGCTTCCAAACATTTACGTCTAATATTTTTTAACTTTAGGACTGCCTTGGCCGAAGCGGAACTGGAGTATAATCCCAAGCATGTCAGTCGCTCAATATATGTAAAGTTTCCTCTCTTGAAACCCTCTCCTAAGTTGGCATCTCTTATAGGTATGGTTTATTCATTGCCTGAGTTTATTAAAGTTACGGAATTGGAACACTCGCTAACCTTTGAAATTTTATTTTCACAGAGGGTTCATCTCCTGTTAGTTTTTTAATCTGGACCACACAGCCTTGGACAATTCCAGCCAATCAGGCTGTTTGTTACATGCCAGATGCAAAGTGGGTATATTATTGCATTTTTTTGTTTTAATCACAGATAGGATCAGTTCCATCATTAGCATTGTTTTGAATCTATTTCATCCTCATCCTCTTAAAAGTTAGTGAGTTATAACTTAGTTATGTTTATATTGAGCTTTAGATGATTCTATGTAACACCTATTTCCAGCTTTTTTGAAAATGAAACAAATGTAAGGAACGAAGTTTTTGGAAAACAGTACTTTTTTGATTTTGGAGTTTTTCTAAAATGATGTAAAACATTTTAAGTGTTGTCTGTGACTTTTCTTTTTTCATTGTTAGTTAATTTCTCCTAAAAATTTATTTTAGATATGCTCTTGTGAAATGCTCCACATCCGAAGATCTCTACATACTGGCTGCAGATAAAGTAACACCTGTGGCTTCTACTTTGAAAACAGCATTTGAGGTTATTTCGACGTTTTCAGGTGAAGATTTATAGATATTCTGACCATTAGTCATGAAAATATTGGGCCGTTTTGTGTTTGGTACTTAGCCGAACATCGCTTATTCTGAATCAAAACGGATAATGGCCTCTGCCTTTCTAGAATGTATTTTACATTGATTACACTGAAGGGTAATATATATTAAACATGATAGAAATATAGGAAAATATGAACACTCACAAAGGCACAACAGATAAGGTCATTTCTGGCAAATATCCAATGTAAAATTGGACAGATGTCCTTTGTATAATGTAGAATGCACACATATATCTTTCAAATTTTTTATTCAAAATTAAATTGCTAAAAAAAAAAATTTATCTGAATTTAATCAAATGAGCTAGGAAAGAAGTAAATATATTTATTTTTGATACATGATTTTAATAGGGAAATTAAATAATCCTGAAAATTATTCCAAAGACGCTACTTCTGTCAAAAGACTCCTAAGTAAACTGTAATTCGGAATTGGTTTTGAAATATAACTGTGAAAATCGAAGGAAGTTTAAAATCACCTTCGAATTCTAGGGATGACATATCTTTGAGTTTCTTGCTAAAAGAAAAAAAATTTCCCATGAATGAGGTACCCGAAAGTGGAGATTGCCTGGCTAAACAAAGAAGCCATCTAAACGCGTCGGTTCAGATACAAGCCGATTAGAAGTTTGAACAATCTTAACAAAAGTAAAAGAACTTTATGTCGAGGCAGGGGAAGAGCTACAGACGTTAACGTTGAACCTCACTCGGCCCTTGTGTTGTGATAGGCAGGTTAGAGGGTCCAGTGTGGTCTGTACTCCGAGCCACCCCCTCCTCCTCCCAAGTGCAGACACATCACACACTTCAGAGGCTACGTGTTGCTACAGACGCCGAAGGGCATCTCACGAGGCTTTGGAAAGTATTAGGTTAGATTTAAGATTATGTTTCTAGGTCGCATAATCGTTTCAAATTATTACCGTCAGAGAATTATTGGGGTGTAAATACTTCTCATCCCTGGCAAAATAAGCTGGCGACAACTAGCTTACCGCTTATGAAAGTAGCAGAATGCTGAGCGGCTAACACGGAATAACTTGAATAGGGTAGGTTTGCCTTCCAGAAAAAAATACTGTTATCACTTAGAGGCCGCAGAGCAGGGCAAAGGGGGGGGCCAGGATATGAGGCCCGTGTCGTTCCAGACGCTGGTCTCCAGGAGACAGGGAGCCGCGTGCCGCACGGCCCTTAGCTCTGCTTCTCTTCCCCACAGGTGCCGATTTGGAAAATGGAACTTGTACTCATCCCTTAACGCCTGATAAAGCCTCGCCCCTCTTACCTGCCAATCACGTGACCATGGCAAAAGGAACAGGGTTGGTGCACACGGCCCCAGCTCACGGCATGGAGGATTATAGCGTGGCTTCTCAACACAACCTGTCCACGGTACTGTCTTCCTCTCCGAGTGCCGCTTTTGTAGAATCGAACAAACCTAACATCTTTGTTTTTTGATAATAAACAATCGTTTTTGTCATAATTGTGAAATGCGTAGGTTTGTGCAATACATGAAAGCCCTCACCGATTCGTTTGGGAAAGACTTCATAGAATTGTCACGGTATCAGCACAGAGTTAAAATGGCACGTAAACGGGAGCGGTTCTGTTCTTTCAGGTAGTGAGTCACATAGACAAATCACTTTCAGTCACTGAGAAACGGCAAGTGGATTTTAACTGGTTTTACTAGTTGAAAAGAACAGGTTTTTTTCTTAAACTCCACTCCTCTAAATTTATTTTACATACATCAGGTAAGCAGGTTTTCCATTAAGTAGACAAGTGTCACAAGATATGCACATTGTCAGATCTGTAAATTAAGAGACTAAATGTGTATTTTGCTTTTTGTTATTAAACTTTAGGTACATGCTTTGCCTCTGGTGATTTCTATGTATAAAGTTACAAATGCCTGTTAACCGAATAAGATACACCCAAATTTTCAGTGTAGTAAAAGGTTAGGCTATACTGAAATGTTTTATATAGATTGTTTTGCCAGATACTGTCATAATATAAAATGTCTTGATACTTTAATTATTCAAAATGACACTGTAGGATTGTCTGGTGGACGAAGATGGAGTCTTTAAAGCTGCCGCAGGTCCGGAACTTGAGAACAAGGCTGTCCTTGAGGAGGGGACCGATGCGGGTAAGCGTGTGTGTTGATATCATAAATACATATTTTCTGAGAGGCAGCCAGCACCAATCTTTTTACTAGCTATTCTCTCATCTTTTATTTTCAACAGAAACAAAAATCTGAAACTCCTTTCTTTTGCCACGGGGTTTAAAGTGGAGTTTGAGACTCTTTCGTCTTTTGCTTTTTTGCTCTGTTCAGCAAACGAGGGCAGTCCACAGGGAGGGATGCTGTTTTAGGACCGCAGAGATAATAATCAGCAGTATCGGCTAAATTCCTGCTCGGTGCTAGATGCCGACTGTGAATCAGACGCTCCCGACTCCTTTTGCAGCCCTGTAACTCTGGCCCACACAGTGTGGGATGCATATTAGGATCTTGGGGTTCCTCCAGTCTTAAGTCATCTTCCTGCATGTTAGGATCTTCGGGTTCCTCCAGTCTTAAGTCATCTTCCTGCCTCTGTAATTGCGGGTCCAGGGACTAGCTACCATGAAAACTTTTCTCTGCCCTGACTAGAGGCTAAGACCAGTGGTGTATTAGCTTCCCGAGGCTCCCGTCACAAAGTACCATGAACTCAGTGGCTTGCAGCTGCAGAAACTTACTCCTTCACGGTCATGGGGGCCGGAAGTCTGAGACCATGGAGAGCCCTTCCACGCCTCACCCCGGTTCTGGGGGCTCCCGCTAGTCCTTGGTTGAAGAGCGTTCCCTGGTTCGTAGCCGCGTGGCTCCAGTCCCTGCCCGCATTGTCACGTTTTCCTGTCTGCCCTGTGTCTTTGTGTATCCTCTCCTCTCATGAGGACAGCAGAGGTTGGATTTCGGGCCCTGTCTGAACCACCCTTTATCGTAACGAGATTACATCTAGAAGAGATTATGCCAGTTTCCAGGGAAGGTCACACTCACGTGTGCTGGCGTTAGGACTTGAACACATCTTTGGTGACAGTCCAACCGGCTGTGCCTGGTTTCTTCTGGAATACCTGGAGACCATTTTAGAGGCATGGTATGAAGGATGACGACTCCGAATTTCAAATGCAGAATTCTAAATATGTCCTGTTCATCTTTCCTTTGACGTGAAGAGCCATGGAAATGGCATAGTTTGGATTCTGGTTAAGGCTTTACAGTCCCTGCATTTTTCGCCAAGAGATTCGCAGATTACGCATTTGGTCACCTGTCACCCGTGATCCAGATTTAGTCCTCCCTGGGGGTCGAGAGAGGTATTAGGATTCTCATAGTACTTTTTCATTATGTCTAAGGTAGATTGTTACTGATTTTTTCCTTAAGTTATAAAGATGCTTCAGGCCGCAAAGAATTTGTTGAAAGAGGAGGAATTGCTCCACAGCTATCCCTACGACTGGAGGACCAAGAAACCGGTGGTTATTCGTGCCAGCAAGCAGTGGTTTGTGAACATCGCGGACCTGAAGGCCACGGCCAAGGTACCCAGGCGCCCTGCCGCGAGGGCCGGGCTCCACTTCCTCGCACGAAAGCGTCGCCCGTGAGCTCGGGGCGCGGTTTCTACCAGAAG